TACTATAGGTCGGAAATGTGACTGCTGATCATGAGATCCCGGGTTGAATCTCGAAACCGACCAAGAGTAATCAGTTATTGGGCTTTTCTAGCAAGAAATTCTCAGTGGCATTCCGTAGTCTGGAATTTGGCGGTTTTCCACCTCCGTGATTCAGAAATCTCCCTCTAGACGTGATCAATCGAACAATAAGATTGAAGGAATAAAGTGTACCTGTGCTTGCGCAGCATACACTCAAGCTCTATAACCCTTAATCCTGTTCTACGCATATGGCTAATCTTCGTTGAGACTGGCGGCCGTGACCAAAATAGGGTCTGATATTCATTATTATTATTAGTCTTAATAGGTAAAAAAAACAATAAAGGGGATATATATATATTTATACATATAACCCCTGGACTTTAGCACTATGCTCAATGACCTCAATGGTGTCTCCCAACGGATAGGTCTTAGGATGAACAAAACAAAACAAAGATCATGTCTAATGTCCATGTCACACCTATGCCGGTAGTCGTTGGGAGCACTATGCTCGAAGTTGTTGACGAGTACGTTTACCTGGGACAAATAGTCCGACTAGGTAAGTCCAACTTTGACCGAGAGGTCAATCGACGGATTCAACTCGGCTGGGCAGCGTTCGGGAAATTACGACACATCTTCACGTCAGGTATACCTCAATCTCTGAAAACTAAAGTGTACAACATCGTGTTGCCAGTGATGACTTACGGATCTGAGACGTGGTCCTTCACTGCTGGCCGAATAAGGTCGCTCAAGGTCGCTCAGCGAGCTATGGAGAGGGCTATGTTCGGAGTTTCTCTGCGTGATAGACTCAGAAATGAGGATATCCGCAGTAAAACCAGAGTGACCGACATAGCCCAACGGATTGGTAAGCTGAAGTGGCAATGGGCCGGCCATATAGCTTACAGGACCGGTAACCGATGGGGAAGAAAGATTCTCGAGTGGCAGCCTCGTACCGGTAGGCGTAGTGTAGGGCGACCCCCACTAGATGGAGTGACGACCTGGTAAGACATGCAGGAAGTTGGTGGATGCAGGTGGCTCAGGACCGTGCTTTGTGGCGTTACTTGGGGGAGGCCTATGTTCAGCAGTGGACTTGTGAAGGGCTGTAATGATGACGATGATATATATATATATATATATATATATATATATATATATATATATATATATAAAACTTATTTACTTTTTAGCTACTTTATTCATTCATAACTGTTTACTTTTTAGATAGGCCCTAGATTGCCTTACAGAGGCAATATATTGGCAGGCGAATTGGAGGCCCGAATATTTTATTTTTATTTTAGTTTATTTATTAATACTTTGATTTATTTTGGAAACGATGCTGCTGTACATGTTCTTTCTCAGTTTCCCTCTGTCGCCTCTTACGCCTCATATGGATGATATGTTGCAGTGAAATGTTTTGCTCCACTACACGCTTTATGGCTACACAGGCTTTAACCCTTAATTAGGCGCATGGGGTCACTACAATTTCAAATTTAAAAAAAAAAATACGTGTGGCACTCGGTGACTGCCGCGGTAAATCTATTGCATAGCATTTTTTATCAACTTATGCAATTATAATTATTTATTTATTTTATTTATGCAGTTAAGTCTTTGATATTAAATCAAGTTACACTTTTTGAGCGTGGTGACCGATAAGAAAACAATTTTTTTCTCTTATTGAATAAATGAGAAGTTAATATTGTTTAAAATATTTTTAATATCTTACAATACATGTAGGTTATTCAGGAATTTTTATCATTGAGTTAGCAGCTAGTGTACACGCATACGTCTAGTCGCACGCACACAAACAACGTGCCGAAGTCTGCCGAGTGCCGAAGTCTGCCGAACTGAAACGACGTTAGACGATGCACGGCTTTCAACGCCACACCTCCGTGCCCGTCGGAGTGGGGGAGCGTGAGGTTTTTTTCGTTACGAAATTTCTGGATTCGGTCCCCGCGCTCAAGGCCCGCGATAGAAGCTATGCAATAGCTTAAAAAAAATGATTGATCCTGCAGGTATCCCTGGAACTTCCCTGAACTGAAATTTCAAATGCAAAGCGCTCCAAACTTCTCGAAATTATGTTGCGAAATCTCGAACTTACGTTAAAAAAAAAAGTTTTTTTTTTGTTTTCAAATTATTTCGCCTTCGATATCTCGCGAACGAATGAACGGATTTTTATTTTCCAAACGGCATTCTACGTCATTTTTTAAGGTTAAGAGTTGATTACTTTTTGAAATTGATTGAGAAAGTCGTTTAAAATTTATTCTAAATAAAACAGTTTTTCAATTATTTTTATTTTTGAGATTTTTTAAAATCTACTCGTTCGAATCAGTTCATATTTTGACCAAATCTATTTCCAATAGAGTTGTTCAAAATGCCGCAAACCGCATCTCAATCGATCAAGTAGCTTTCTGGGATCTCAAAACTTCAAGATCTGATGAAAATTCGAGTTTTGAAAATCGTGGTGAAACCAATAACTTCAATATTTTTGAAAATTTTCAATTTTATTAGCGGGAAGTTACAAATGTCTTGAATATTTAGAGTGCACTCGCGCTCTTTCAAGCTTTACCCCCCGCAGGGTGAGAAAATTAACTATGGGCAGAAAAGCCACACATGTCCCTACTCTCTAAGGTGCGGACTCCATGCGACAATTACTTAACATTTTTTGCTTAGGTAAGTTTTAATTTTTATGTATTTAATTAGTTTGTATGTGTATATTGTTATATGTTTTATTAGTATTTTTGTATTTTTATATTGCATATTTAATTTACCTATTTCTGTCTTAATTTCTGTTAAAATTCTTTTTCTTGTTCAAAATTTTGAGATGACTCGCGAAAGAAAGATACTGCAATGGCTGACGAATGTGTATAAACGAGATATTGCTGGTTCTGCCAATGCTATCAGAAATTCTGAATACTAACAAGAGTTACATATATATAAGGCAATTAGCGGTAGCACTTGTAGAAGATCATTAGAATCATCGAATTCAACAGCTTCTTCATCAAAAATCGGCAAATTCCAAAAAGTGTGGTAAATTTATTTGTCAACAACATTTTAGGTTATAAAGGTGCGTTATATACAGAATAAAAGAATCTGCTGATGAATCGGATTATTTTTTTAACGTTGATCTCGGCTAAATAAAAAAATTGTAGTTTAAAAGAGACAAGTTTTGTTATATTTTTAAGGTTTTAAAGTCAAAGTTATATTTTAGTTATAAAATTATTTTCATAAAACAATCTTTGTTTCATTTATTTGAAACACTCTGTTTTCAACTATTTATTTGGGGTCACTATAGACCCCATGCGACTAATTATGTGATTTTCTTCATGCGCTTTATAGGTTCAAATTAATTTATTGGTTAGAATTATTGATCATTAGTTATTACATCCACCCCTCTCACTTCTGAAAATAGGCCTCCCAATGAAATATCACAAATACAAATAGATTAATACTTAAACGATTCTTTCCAGTGACTATCTCGTTGGCAAATCACTATTTAGTATTCGAAATAAATATATGATAAAAAGTGCATACACTATAAACATACAAAAATTAAAATTAAATCAACAACACGTCAGAACATATTTTTAACTCAGCACGTACACCTTGAAAAAGCAAAAGCTGAAGGTAATTTGTGCATTTACGTTATTATCGTACTTTAGTATTTCGTGCGCATTTGCGGAGTTATACTGTGTGCTTAACAACTTTAGAACAATAAACAAAAACTTAGTGGTAGTCGGAGAGCTAGCCGTCACTTAAACTATCATGTTCGATATGACGCTTTAGTTCTGTATATTATCAATTTAATATCATTTTATTAACATTCAAATATACAGTATGTCATAGCGGAATTCTTGGGGTTGTTTTTTTGATGAGGCAGCACCACTGTCCCCGTTTGACAAGGTTCAGTCGTGCTACCATATATTGTGTAAATTATAATGAAAGAGATCTAAGATCACACACTTTTAATTTTATACCACCATAATTTTATTCTACACTTCTTTTTATAAAACTCACAAATAATAATCACAAAGAAAATGGTTTCAAGATCACACACTTAATTTTATATCACAATAACTTTATTCTACACTTCTTTTTATAAAAACTCACAAATAATAATCACAAAACTTTACCAGGAAAATAGAACTACTCTGACGAGCGCAGGAACTGAAGTGAGTCTATTCCCGCATTCATACAATAAATGCGGGATATATAATATATAATAATACCTCTTCCCTTCCGGACCGCATACAGAGTGCTCGTGTACACAGGATCCGATTTATTTTAATTATATTTAGTCAAATAATTAAATTTAAAGTGGGCGCGGTGCGATACTAGGAGTGCATAATCTGAGAAGTGTCCGAAAGTATTGTGTCGTATTGTTCTAGTCCCGCACTTTGTGTAGCAAACATCAAAAGTGTCGTAGCGTGCTACGAGTTGGCTCCTAGGTACTGCTACGAAGCTACGCACGATTCATTCTACTTTACCTGAGTTCTGCGCGCCTAGTACCCGTCAATCAACAATGTCTCTCAGGCGCACGCCTCCCAAGACCTCCGCCTCTGCAACGCAACGGGCCCGCTCCGCGTTGCAGCCCCCGTCGGCCCCGCTACCGCTACGATGAATTCCCCGGTGTTCATTCAGACAAGCGGCGAATCCGACGCCGTTGCGGCCCATAGTACAGATCAATTTCTTGTGACTCACCGTCGCAACTTACACGTACGGCTCTGTCACTTAATGATTTAGCGTGCGACGATATTGTAACGAAACGCGTTAAGCGTAAATTTGACTTAGAGGGCGGCAGCCAAGAATTTTCTCAGTCCACTACATCTTTTATAGAAGATTTATTTTCGTCCTTCTCTACTAAAATTGAAAAGCGCTTTGCAGCACTGCATGTTTCAGTAAATCAAATCGCCGATCAAAACTGTGACATGCAAAAAAGTCTGAGTTTTATGAATGAAAAGTATGACCACTAATTAGAAAAATTAAAAATGATGGAGGAAGAACGTTTAAACGACAAAAAAACAATTCAGACTTTGGAGGACAAAATTGAGCTTTTGGAAAAGAGATCACGAGCAACAGTTGTAGAAATACGAAACACGCCAAGAATTTATGAGCAGAATAATAGACCAGAGTCCAAAACTGATTTATGCGATATTGTCAAGATCTTGGCGAAGGCAGTGAACTGCAGTCTTCAAGAATCAGATATAAGGGATGTTTATCGCATACTCTCCAAACATGAAACGTCTCGTCCTATTATTTTGGACTTAAACAGCGTCATAAAAAAGAAGCCCTATTAAATGCTATAAAAGAATTTAATCGTAATAAGGGAAAAGGAGAAAAGCTTAATACAAGTCACCTAAATTTACCGGGTACTAGTAAGCCAATATATGTTTCTGAGGCATTAACACACAAAACGCAGAAATTATTTTTTGTTGCCCGCGAATTTGCCAAGGAATATAATTTCACGTACTGTTGGACCTCGAGGGGCGTTATCTATCTGCGTAAGGACGAGAAACAACCTTATGTACGGGTGGACCATGAGAAGGAACTTCAGAGTCTCAAAAACTCAATATCTAAGTAACTATAATAAACTACTATATGACGCATGCTTCTTACAAAAACTGTTAAAATTTTATATCTTATATTATACGGGTGATAACACATCCCATATTGTTTTTTTGGACTTGTATGAAAATTGTATTAATTTTGCAATGGTGCAGGTACAAAATTTATTAAAAAGTTATTTTTATATTGTACATATGGAATTTAAGGAATATACCCGTCAAGGGCTTAATTTACTTAATTACGATGAGTGCTGTTTTAGATTGATACCAAGACGTGAATGTAATAATGAGGAAACCATTTCGATTAACTGTGATTTAATTAGGGACCTTTATTTATTAATGCTTGAGTCACTTTTATCATATTTAACTAACTTCTGTAGTCACACATTATATCTCAATATCGAAGAGGTATACAAAGATTACGGTTCATTATATTGCTTTTACGCGTTTTCGACGAATTAGCAGTTTTTGGTGATCTTGACTCCATTGAGGTATCTAGAGCAGTTTCAATAGACGTTGACTCTTGCCAATCACATGTGCCTCAAACTGAAAATTACCTTAAAATTATAACTCAAAATATACAAAGTATAGGTTGTAATTTTGATAATTTTGCTTTGCTTTTGGAAAGAACCAAAATTGTTTGCGACATAATTATACTTACCGAATGCTGGCTATTATGTAACCCAAATATCCCTACTTTAGACAATTATATTGGATATACTAACAAAAAATGTTTTAACCAAAATGATGGTGTCGCAGTTTATGTAAGAAATAGTCTCGGTGTCACGGTTGAGGAACCTTATTTTACGGGCGCAAGCTGTTTAGTAATTAAAAAAGGAGTAGATCTCGCAATCATTGCCATATATCGTTCCCCTTCAAGAAATAATAGCCCAGATTCATTTATCATCTCTTTGGAACAAGTCTTAGAATAGGTGGTATTGTTTAAAAATGTCGTTATCATGGGAGACATAAATTTCGACATCTCAACGAGTAATATGGATACACATACAGAAAAATATCTTAATTTGACGGCATTTTATGGTCTTATGCCAGCACATTATTTGATTACTAGACCTGTTAGCAAAACTTGTATCGATCACGTATTATTAAAAACTAAAAAGCCCGCTCTAATGTTGATCATCCAGTCTGATATTACCGACCACAGCTCTGTTTTACTTTGTCTTAATTTTGATCCCACTTCTCAACCAAAAACTAACAGCTACTCTAAATTAAATCACTCTAACCTCAATAAGGATATGATAAACACAGATTTCAGTTTTATTTATGATATTGATGATCCTGACGTCGCCGTAAACCGGTTAATTGAGATAATCACTAAACTACATAACAAAAACACTGATATTTGTATATACGCCAACCGAATTAGGATTATCAAACCTTGGATGACATCAGGCTTACTTCGATGTGTTAGAAATAGAGATAACCTTTTAAGAAAGCCAAAAAAACACCCAAACAACAACACCATACAAATAACTTACAAAAGGTATAAGTGTTTTTGTAATAACTTACTTAAAAATATTAAAAGAAAGTATGAAAGTGAATTAATTTTAGGTGCTGGTAATAACAAAAGGAAGCTCTGGAATGTTCTAAAAAATATAACCTATACTAATAAACCTAAATCAGCGGCTGACGAACTGTTGCAGTCTTATGCAACAGCTGACTTAGCCGTTGATAGTGTAAATAATTACTTTGTTAACATTGGAAAACATTTAGCTGAAAAAACCGCAGATACTGATCATTTAACCGACTCAAGCGACATGTCGACTTCTAGTAATTCTTTCGTTATGTTGAATACTGATGAATCTGAAATTGAATCACTTATCATGAATCTCAAAAACAATTGCTCCACTGGATGGGATAATATTTCAAATGTTTTTCTAAAAAATAATAAAAATATACTGGTACCGATATTAACGCATATTTTTAATAGGTGCTTGGAATATAGTGTATTTCCCGAAGCTTTTAAAAAATCTATTATAATCCCTATACACAAAGGGGGGGACAGAGATCAAGTTACTAACTATAGACCTATAGCTTTACTCCCGGCTATGTCCAAATTATTAGAAAAAATAATAAATAAACGCCTTATCAACTATTTAGAGACGAACAATCTACTCGCTAAAAACCAATATGGCTTTAGATCTGGTAAAAACACAGATGGTGCTATGCATGACGTAATTAAGTTTATATCAGAAAACTTGGACAAAGGCAGACGATGTTTAGCGATCTTTCTAGATTTAGCGAAAGCTTTTGATACGGTCTCTGTGCCTATCTTGCTGGAAAAGCTTAAAAGGCTTGGTGTACGTGGAAAGCAGTTAAATTTATTTAAGAGTTACATGAAAAATAGATTGCAAAGTGTTAAAATTAGTAATCACAGAAGTTCAGATTTACCAGTGACCTACGGTGTACCTCAGGGCAGTATACTGGGGCCCACCTTATACACAATTTATGTTAATGATCTCTGTCAAATGAAGCTCATCTCTGAAAAGTCTATTTGCTATGCAGATAATACTGTGCTACTTTTTGCAGAGGGTGATTGGAAAAAAACTTTTGAAGCTGCCCAAAATTCATTTAATACTGTACAAAGGTGGTTGTGCTCTAATAAATTAACTTTAAATGCGGAGAAAACCAAATATCTGACCTTTTCCATTCGTGATGTGACGCAACCAGGAAACGATTTCTCTCTACGTGCACATAGCTGTATTTTAAAAATCCTAGCTCTCTCACTTCCTGCCGATGTCCGTTATTGGAAAGAGTTGAGATTGTCAGGTATTTGGGTATCCTTCTAGACAAAAATCTATCTTTTGAACACCATATTCAACATTTAAAAAATCGTATCCGCAAACTTATATATGTTTTTAAAAATCTAAGACATGTAGTGCAACCATATCTTTTGAAATAGCTGTATCTTGCTCTGTGTGAATCTTTGTTAACTTATTGCATTTCTTTTGGGGTGGGGCTCTAAAAACGCACATGGTTTCTTTAGAAAGGGCTCAAAGAGCGCTTTTAAAGGTCTCCACTTTTAAACCATTTCAATATCCTACAATATTACTCTACAATAACTGCCAAGTACTAACTGTTCGCCAACTATTTGTTCTAAATGTTATAAAAAAACAGCATCAGTGTATAAATTATGACCCTGACAAAATCAAATGTAAACGTCGTAAAGACATTGTGATTAAGTCCAGTTTTAAGCCCAACACAAAATTTATAAAAAAATATTTTTGCTTTCTTGGCCCATATTTATATAATAAAGTAAACAAAATTGTTCATATATACTATATGAATAAGCATGACTGCAACATTGCCCTCAGAAAATGGCTTCAACTAAAGTCTTATGAAGAAACGGAGAATTTGTTAACAGTACTTGCATAAGTGTTCATAGATGTCAATTCGTTACTTCTCTGCTAAATTTTTTTTTTTCATCTGTGCATGTCTTTTAAATTCTAAGGATCTATTTTTTTTGTGTCACTTGTATTATTTCATTATATTTTGTGTATCTTATTTAAGGTTTTATGTAAGTGGGAAGAGCTTTGCTTAACCTAAAACACAGGGTTTACCCTAACTTAGGAAGCAAGTTCATTTTTAAGAACATATTTAGTATATAAGATGCATTGTTTGACTCCTACTCTGTATCACTTTCTATCTGAATAAATTATTATTATTATTATTATAAAGAAAACATAATAACTACTTAGGTGTGCCCTGATTGGTCGACGATTTGATTGGTAAATATTTCACTAAACAATAACTGTTTATTGAATTCATTAGGTTACTTAAGTAATTTCAATTACCAGGATTAATAATCAAATCGACAATTATTTATTCTACGACTTAAAACAATATTTGAGTTAAAAGTTGATAATCGAATAAATAGTTGTTTTAATAGGAATAAGTCGTCCATAAATAGATTTGTAAACCAAAAGAGTTTTAAAGAACTACCTAGTTACATGTTATGTTTCTGATAAATTGCCGTTATTAAATTGTAAAATTAATAATTATACACTGTTGATTATTATAATTTATAACAATTAAAAGACAATGCAAAGTTTAGGCTTCGTCAACAGAAGATGTCCTTGCGGCGACAAGTATTTATTACTATATTTAATAAAAAAACTTACACTAAAACTTAAATTAACGTACACTTACACAACCTATTGAAGTCCACCGCTGATTAAAAGCCTCCTTAATTGATTGCCTCAAGGGGGGGATATTTTCCATATTTGCCATGCTTGGCAAGTGAATTGGCAACCGCAGTTTTTTATTTTCAGTCGTTATAAGGAATATGTTGCTACCCATCGCCTTATTTGTTTCCCTATGTCGCCACTTACGACACCCACGGAATGTTATGGAGTACTGGATATTCTTACACCACCTCTACACAGTACGGCACGATCATAATAATTTATTATTAGTTATAACGATGTGGTTAAAGAAAAAAAAATCCAATGAAATTACTTGTAATATATAATACATAAAAAATTCTATTTTAGTAGAAGTGTAAAATATTAATGAAAATGTTTTTATAAGCCTGAAATTTAAATATATTTAAATATATTTTAAATTATATTTTTTCATTAATGGAAAAACCCCAGGCGTTTTTTATTTACTTTCACAAGCAAGTCGAAGATTGACAGGAAGGGTGCTTGCATTTATCATTATTAAAACTCAAAATAAAGAAAACTGCATTTACCAACCCGTCCGTCAAGCGT